TTAGTTGGAAGATATTTGACAATCGATTAAGTATACGTTAAACTAACTTAATGTCTAAAATATTGTTCTACCTAAGATTAGTGACAGAGTTATTTTATGTAAGAAGGAAATTAATAACATTTAGAAAGAAAATCGTTAAAGTATAATTCACAATAATACGAACGTTCAGAAGCGTATTATCAAAAGAATTCACCACTGCTAACTTTTTCTCAAACTCATTATCTTAACCGAGAACATTATAATCCTTTAGCCTCCTTAAAATATCCAGAATTACGCTATCTAAATTGTCTCGTAAATATAAATGGTAAAAAATTTTGCGAATGACTCAACATTTCTTCTCATAGTGTTATCTACACCTATATACTTAGTATTTAAACACTGTCTAAAACTATGTGAATAGTTCCGTCTTCTGCATTTTATTACACTTTATTATAAATGGCAAACTTACATAAATAAACCTGTATACTATTACAGAAACGCAGAACTTATGTCTACAATTCATATGTATCACGTCTTTTAACTTTTTCTTTTGCTTTCTTTTTCTGCTTCGAATATCTCTTTTTGGCTAATTAAAGTCCATCGAATTTTAATAAAGTAAATAATAGGAAATTAGAGAATCATTACGATTTAGAAATTTAGTTTAAAATTTGTACAGAAGTCGGACTCAAGTCGACCACATATGGTTTACATTACCTGCTAATTACCATAACACATCAACACCCTCATTGTATTTCCAGGAATATTTAATCCACCATGCTCGGTTCAAACAATTTTATAATGACGGAATACGATTTTACAATTGGCATTCTTTTTTAAGTCGAAAACTGTCGGTTTCCTGTTATTAGTTATATATGCCATATAGTTTAAAGTATTTATAACGATTCGTGAAATGGAAGGAAAGAAAGAACTTCTATATTATAGTATTTATAACTCACTTATATCGACATGTACTAAAAATTGTGCACACTATATTTCAACGTAAGATAAAAATGTTGTACGATCGAACTAATAACAATTTGTTTTTTTTTTTATTTATTCATAGAGTATGTAAACTTGATTATTGCCTGCTCTATTTTCAAAATTCGAAATGTAATTTAAGTCAACCTCAAAGAGCAGAAACGAACATTATTTATACAGTGCCAGTGCACATATTTCAAAGCTCTCTTAATAGGATTCGTAACGAACTTCAATTAATGGATCAAAACAAGCTGTTTCGGTCGTCACAATAGCTTTTATACACACGAAAAAGATCAAACACATTTACTTTCTTCTGACCGAAATAAGCACTGCTTGAGACAATATCACTTAACAGAGTAAGAATAATTGTGAAAAAACTTGCAAATGAAAAATCTTTATGAGTCTGTTAAACTCACAGTCTAGATACAATACATTAAAATTAGTTTGGGTTCTTTTTTTCAACCCAAAGAAGTGCGTCGTCATAATTAATATGTAAGTGACAGAAGAAATGTGAACGTGCGACAGTGTTGCTCTAGGTATAGAGGGTAATAGAATACCTTTTTGTTCTCAAGAAACGATTATTCTGCACTTGCGGCGCGTGCATCTGTTCACAGTTGTACTCGCACATGGTTCAATTACTTCAGTCCCTATTTAAAAAAAAAAAAAATACTCAATATAAATATTCACCTTCAATAATTAACTTATAAATAAATTTTAGAATAAGCTTAAATAACGCACGGTAACTTACCTCGATTTGGAACGACTATCTTTTTGCCTATCCGGAGACTTGCTGCGGGAGCGAGATTTTCCACGCGAGCTCTTACTATCAGAGCGTGAGCGGCTGCGACTACGACTGTATGATCGCCTACGATCTCTATCGCGACTCCTCGATCTACTACGCGATCTAGAGCGTGAGCGTCTTCGATCCCTGCTCCTACTGCGTGACCTATAAATAATTAACGATTAAAAAATTTATTTTATTCAAAAAATTTCGTCCAGTATGGAAAATATTTCGGTAATATTCACCTTCCACGCCGACGACTGCCGCGACTACGATGTGGGGAAGTTGGCCGTCCATATCGCGCCATTTGAACCCTAAGTTCCCTTCCATCTAACAGCCTTCCGTCCATGGCGTCTAATGCATCCTCTGCATCTCGTTTATCATAGAATCTGAAGTAGCAATTCGTAACAATGAAAACACGGTTTTCAATTTATATGACACAAGTAATTCACTAGATAATACGCATTGCAATGTTTGTTGGTATATACATACTCCATTATGGCTATCCAAATACTATCGTGACGTCACATTTATAGATCGCAATCAGCAATAACTGAATAAAGATACGCAGATATAGAGAAATATTTTATAACATACCTGACGAACGCAAATCCACGGCTTTCTCGAGTAAAGCGATCTCTGGGTATGTAAATGTCGCCGACTTCGCCACATCTTTCGAACACGCGTCTCAGATCCTCCGGCGTCGTTCTGTACGTGAGATTGTCCACCTTCAGGGACACCATCCCATCGATTCGAGGCGGTGGTCTGCCGTAACTCATTTTCTTGGGCTCCTCGATATTCTCAGGAACAGTGAAAATAACACTCCAATCCGGAAGATCAGTATCAGATTAAATAGCACACGTCCATACACATTGAAGACAAGATGGCGAGTGGCGGAAGAACGGATTCTACGCGTAGTATACTGGGAAATGACGTAAATAAAGTTTCCTACTACGCTGATCAAATTTCTTTTCGTACGAAATTTTTCTTTTCACTGTTATTTAATTCAATTATTTATGAAAATTCCATCGCAAAATAATAATTCGTTAATTAAAAGGTTGCAACTTTATTATTTAAGCGTAAAATATTTAAAAAAATTAAAAAATATAGATGATAGCTTTTTTAAACAAGGTTAACGTTATATGCATAACGTATATATACAATATCTTTCAAATTTTTTCTAATATTTTGCATAAATAAAGCATTCCTGAATTTTCTTTTAATCCAGATGGGAATTTTAGGAAAATGTAATATGTATTTTTGTTTGTTTTCATGTATGACGCAGCAGTGGAATGACTTGCGCAATTCACTTCCGGTCAATTTCAAATTTAAATCTACAACGTTCATCGACAACGAAAGTGAAAAACTTTCGTGTTACACGCGTTTTATTTAAAATAGAAAAAGATAAATAAAGAAACAGAATTTTTTTTAATTTAATAAACCTTGTTAAAAACGTCTCGACTTTTCAATTGAATTTTTGCACAAAAAATGAAATTCTTCATACTGTGTATCAAACGTATAGTCTATGGTAGTGAGCATTGATCGCAACAAATCGTTAACGCATTATTTTTTATTTAAGTTTCAATGAAGCTGCATCTGTGGTATCACAACAATGCCCTTGCAATAAGATGCCCCCCAAAATAATCTGTCAACATCGCTTAAAAATCCTCCGATACAATTACAGCTTCGATCTCGTTTTACACGCTTATAAAAACGAATCGTACCAACCGTAAGAAAGGGCAAACGCAATTGTTGTACATTTTGGTCCTTTGCCCGCCGATCGCCTGTGTCTGTTGCGCCGACATGTTTGCGCATGACGAACGATCCATCGTTCGAGAAATAAGAAATAAAAATCGAGTGTACATCACGTCGATGTTTGACATATTCGAGAAATCAAGGGAAAAAACTTACAAAAAAAAGAAGAGATGGAAAGAAAAAAAGAAGAGCAAACGTGCTGACAACAAACACAGTTTGCACAATACTCTTTGACTTAGCTAGGCGGTAGGCGCAAAAATAAGAGACGTCGAGTAATCGCAATTCCCTCTCGAATCTTTTTTTTCCTTTTTCGTCATTCTTTTCCTCGAAGAATTCGTCAACGGGCATACACGCGACCTTGGTCTCCGAATTAATAATATAAAAATAGAAGGTGAAAAGAATTTCAAACGGATCACATAGCAGCCTAATAAATAGCTTAAAAAAGAAACGTCTAACAAGGGTTCTCCCTTATCGTTACAAGATACAAAAAAAAGATGAGAATGGTACAGACCTCTGTGAGTCAAACAAAACAGTATACACATGCATGAAGAAATAAGAGGACACAAAACAAAGTACAATCTGACGATTTGACAAAAAGAAGATTAGACCCATAAGTTAATCGAATAATTAGCTATTACACATGTAACGTGAGGTTGCTTGTAATACGATGTTTATAAATTAAAAAAAAAAGAAAATCCCAACAGTTCCGCATGTGGGATAGACACAATTTGTCA